TAATTACTCTGTGGAGTTTAGGAAAGTGAAGTGCTCATTATGAACACAGTGCGATGAATGTCAATTTAAATAACACTTGTTGAATATCGTGATGTGCCAGGGATGACACTGGCCAAAATCATGAAGATGGAACAGGTTGATGTTGGAATTGCCTGGCAGCTTGTGGGCAAACAAGAGGGCTTAGTGTAGGAGGGAGTGGCCAGTGAATCAGCAGTGGGTCAAGGAAGAGTAGGAAAGACAGGAGGCCTGACCTCAGAGGAAAGGAAGTGACTGAGAAACAGTCTGAGGATCTTAGAGAATAGTGTGTTAAGTTGGGGGAAGTAAGCAGTCTCCTCTTAATTCCCACTGAAAGCATTAATGTAAGAGATGGACTGGTGCTGGGGACAGAGTCAGATTTCAGTTGTGGAAAAATGTACATGGAAGACGTTCTTTGGCCTGAGATGTTTGAAACTTTTATCTTGAGGGTAGTGGGAAACAAGTGAAGAGTTTTAAGTGAATCTGCCTGATTTGCTTTTTTTTTTTAAAGAATCTCACATCACTACACGGAGAATATAGCCAATATTTTGTAATAACTGTAAATGGAGTGTAACCTTTAAAACTGTATAAAAAAATAAAGCACATTTTATTGTAATGATAAAAAAAAAAGACTTCCACATCACTGTGGCGATTAGGATGGGGTAAACCTGAAGATCAGTTAGGAGGCTGAAGCAGGGATCCTCGTGAGGGATGGGGGTAAACTACAACAGTGGCAGTGGAGATGGAGATAGACAATCTGAGGGAGAATTTGATGGTCTAATTGGCAGGAATCTGGCAACAGTTCTGATGAGGAGGGCAAGGGAGAGGAATACAGCAAAGATTTCTCTTGAGTGACTAGACAGTGATAACAGACACTGAAATAGGACCAACACAGGCACAGGAGCAGATGGGAGGCCTTGATGATGGGACTCATTGAGGGGTGTATGAAACCTACCAAGGAAGATGTCGGTGGTCATTTAGTCATGTTCTATGGTTTTTCCAGTAGTCATGTGTGGATGTGAGAGTTGGACAATAAAGAAAGTTGAGCACCGAAGAATTGATGCTTTTGAACTGTTGTGCTGGAGAAGGCTCTTGAGAGTCCCTTGGACTGCAAGGAGATCCAACCAGTCCATCCTAAAGGAGATCAGTCCTGAATATTCATTGGAAGGACTGATGCTGAATCTGAAACTCCAGTACTTTGGCCACTTGATACGAAGAACTGACTTACTGGAAAAGACCCTGATGCTGGGAAAGATTGAAGGCGGGAGGAGAAGGGGACGACAGAGGATGAGATGGCTGGATGGCATTACTGACTCGATGGGCATGAGTTTGAGTAAACTCCGGGAGTTGGTGATGGACAGGGAGGCCTGGCGTGCTGCGATTCACGGGGTTGCAAAGAGTCGGACATGACTGAGTGACTGAACTGAACTGAACTGAAAACCTACAGATGTAATAGGAACTTGAAATTGGTACATTTCTCTCCCTTACCCACTATTTTCTTTAATTCTTTTTAAAATTGTAATTACTGGTTTTTTCAATCATCATCAAAATTTCTTTTTTTTTTTTTGGCCACCCTGAGTGGCTTGCGGGATCTTAGTTCCTTGACTTGGGATTGAAACTCAGGTCCCAGCAGTAAAAGCACCAAGTCCTCATCACTGGACCATCAAGGAATTCCCATCAAATCTTATTTTGAAGAAAAATTGAGACAGAAATAAATAAGTGGCTGGAGTCTCTTAATTGAACATGATTGCCCCTCTTTACTTCCCCCTACCTCTCAAATCTTCACCGATTTAACACTAAAGAAATGTTAAAAGAAACGCAAAAGCTCAGTAAAGGAGGCAATAGCAGATGAAAGTCAATAGATACTTGGAAGGCAGAAGGCAGGTGGTGAAGTGTTACTTGGATAGAAGCTTTGTAAGAAATTACAGACTAAGTACCAACCAGGAGAGATTACCAACATGAAGCAAATCAGGTCACCCAGTTTAACCTCAGAGAGGTCTAATGCCTGGGAAGCATGAGTTACCCCAGAAGGTCAGCTTGGAGGCACAGGGTTAAACACAGGCTTTTGGCTGGAGGCCGTGTGCAGAGCCCCAGAGCTCTGCTCTTAAAAGCCAAATAATTCTATGGACTTCCTGATGGTCCAGTGGTTAAGAATCCGTCTGCCAATGCAGGAGACTCAGGTCCGATCCCTGACCCAGGAAGATCCCACGTGCCTCAGAGCAACTAAGCCCATGCTCCGCAACTACTGAGCCCGTGCTCTAGAGCCTATGCACTGCAGCTACTGAAGCCCGAGGGCCCTAGAGCCTGTGCTCTGCAACAGGAGAAACCATCACAATGAGAAACCCTCGCACACAGGAGTAGCGCCCCCTCCCAACTCGAGAGCAGCAATAAACACTCAGCACAGCCCAAAAAAGCCAAACAACTCTCTAAACTGTCTTGCTGCATATGGAGGAACTCTGGAGGCTTCCATACTCAGGGACCTCAAGCAGGGTTTGAAGGGCAGGGAAGAGGTACAGGGTGGAAAACTGAGGGGTGGAGGGAAGATCTATCTACTTCCTAGTGACAGCCCCAGCCCCTCCCCCATGCCTCCCCCAGGATGCCAACCACCAGGCACTTAGCACCCCTACCCTCACATCCTCCCTGTGAAAATAGAAAAGTCTTCTCCAGAGGCCCTGAGAACCCCGGGTGGGGATAGGAAAAAAAGGAAAAACCTCCACTGACATTTAAGAATTTCTCAATGACAAATCTAGTTGTTGCCTGAGAAAGAAAATTTTGAGGTTCTTCCATGGTGATCCAGTGACTGGGACTCTGTGCTCCCAATTTGATCCCTGGTCAGGGAACTAGATCCCATATGCCACAATTAAGAGTTCACCTGCTGCACTTAAAGATCCTGTGTACCACAACTAAGACCCCGTGCAGTCAAATAAATAAGTAGCTTTTTAAATCAACTTCCTAAAAAAAAAAAAAGAAGAATTTTTCAAAACTGAAGGAAACACTATTGAAAAGAGCCCACGAAAGGCTCAGTATAATAAATGAAAAAGACCTGCACCAAGGCATATCGTCATACAATTTCAGAAACGGTTTTCAAAGCATCAGGAGTGAAAAAACAAGCCCCAGACAAAGGCACAGGAATCAGAGTGACGTCAGATTTCTCAACAGCAAACCTAGGGAGGCTCAGTCTAAGGAAGCTTATTGCTAACCTGGAATCATACACCCAACCAATCTGACATGAGGTCAGAATACTTTCAGACTTTCAAGGACACAGAAAAAAATTCCTTACTTAGGAAGCTACTGGGGAATGTGCTTCAACAAAATGAGAGAGTAAACCAAAGAACATGAGGTGGACCCAGGAAATAGGGCGATGGACAGAGAAGACTAGCAAAAGGAAATCCCAGGACAACATTTGTGTACCAGGCTTAGCAAACAGTCAGTCCAAACTGGAACAGAAAGACAAGCGGTTCATGAGAGAGAAGTCTTCAGGGAAAAGATGGGACTGATCAGTTAGAGGTTGAGCATTTGGGAAGATTGTTGCTATGTTTGAAATATTTGGAAGAAAACAGTTGGAGTACTTAGAAAATTAAACAGTTGAAAAAAGTAACAATTACTAAATCCAGATAAAACCAACTTTAAGAGAAGGAAAACATAATAGGTTGGGTGAACAGTGTTTATTTACATGATCAATAATGTAAACACTAAATATAGATTAACTATAAATTGTGGAAAACTATGAGAATGAGGGCAGGACAATAGGGCTTAGAGTGGTGTAAGAGAGCTAATTCCTCAGATTAGAAATAAATATTGCCTAAAATTGATGAATCAAGTAGTAGTAATTATTAGTTTGTGAGGGCTGCCCTGTTACAGAGTAACACAGACCAGGCGGCTTCAATAATAGAAATTTATTCTCACAGTTCTGCACCTCAGATCAAGGTGTCCAAGATCAAGGTGTCACAGGATCGGCTTCTCCTGAACCCTCTCTCCTTGGCTTGCAGATGGCCGCCTTCAGGCGTCTTCAGATGATCTCTCTTCATGTGTTGGTATCCTAAGCCCCATTTATAAGGATACCAGTTATGTTGGGTCAGAACCCACCCCGGTGACTTCATTTTAACTCAGTTACATCTTTAAAGACCCTCTCTCTAAGGAATTCCCTGTGGTTAATTCCAATGGTTAAGACTCCATGCAGGAGACGTGGGTTCAATCCCTGGTCTGGGAACTAAGATCCTGCATGCCACATGGTGCCACCAAAAAGAATAAATAAAAAATTAAAAAGCAAACAGCAACAACAAAAAATGCAACTCTGATTTGGAAATAAGTAAATAAATAAAAATAAATACCCCGTCTCTAAAATAGAGTCACATTCTGAGGTACTGGGAACTGGGGCTTCAACATATGAATCTGTTGAATTCAGCCTGTAGCAAGTAGTATAAACTCGTTATTTGGATGTATAGAGGTAGCACCAGAAGAAATAACCGAAAGAGTTGAAAGTGGTTGCCTCTGGAGTGAGACTGGAGGATGGCAAAGGGGGAGGCAAGTGTTACTACCTTTTTACTTTTTACTGGATATCAGGTGGTCAACCGGGCCTTGAGCCCAGTCTGATTCTAAACCTGGTGTTCTTCCCGTCTACCATAAGGTTCGGAGCTCCTCCAGGCCATGGCAGTGCCTCATGCCTCTGCTCACTGCCCTCAGCACCTATCACAGCATTTTACTACATGGGTATGACTTACAACTGTATCACTATAACCGTTAAAGCCACTGGTGACCTAAACGGAAAGGAAATCTTAAAAAAGGGTATATATGTTTACATATAATTGATTCATTGTGATGTACAGCAGAAATTAACACAGCATTGTAAAGCAACTATCCTCCAATAAAAAATTTCTTAAAAATTTAAAAAGCTGCCATTTGTCAGGTTTCTTTTCCTGTTTAAAAAAAAAAAGAAGAAACTGGGCGCAGCTCGGTGAGCTGGGTGCCGTGGGACAGACTTAGCTATGGAAGGTAAACCATTGGTGATATCCAAACAGAAGACTGCAGTGGTGTGTGGAGTCCCCACCCAGGTGGTTTGCACAGCCTTTAGCAGTCACATCCTGGTATTGGTGACCCAGATGGGGAAGATGGGCATGCTGGTCTCCCTGGAACCCAGCAGTGTGACCAGTGACATCAGCAAGCCTGTGCTGACCACTAAAGTCCTCCTCGGGAAGGATGAGCCTCTCATCCATGTCTTCACAAAGAACCTGGTGGCATTTGTGTCTCAAGAAGCTGGAAAACAGAGCCATCCTCCTCACCCTGGCCATGAAGGACAAGAGCACAGGGGTGGTGAAGACCGTAAAGAAGGTGATCCAGACAAGCCAGGTGTGGTGACCCTGCAGTAGCCACCCCTGCTGTCCAGGGGGCCTTGCAGCAACTCAGACACCTTCTCAAGGATTTAAAGGCCCTCCTTTAGTTAAAAGGAGGAGCTCTCTCTGGCTTTGGCCCTCGAAGCTGGAAGAAACACAAACACCTCTGGCTGACCTTGGTTTGGAGGCTGACGTCCCCCCTGGAGGGAGGACAGGAAACATGTCCTGAGAAGGTTGTGAGTCCTCCTCCCCAGGTCCAGACAGCTGCACATGTGTGAGAATTGTTAGACTGAGTCATGGCCCTCAATTGTTGGGGGAAACTTTTTTTTTATTAAAAATAAATACATATCCCCCTCCAAAAAAAGAAGAAACTGATAGAGGAAGACAGATCCAAGGAAACCTAAAGGGACAATAATATGGAGCGTCCAGCTGAAAGTTTCCCACCCTCTGTGTTCTAGAATCGCTGGGTGCATCTCTGATAGCACTCTGAGTTTTGATCCTAGAAAGGGTCCATCCACAGCAGGGGAGGGGCACGAGATGTTTTCCTGCCGATGGCGGTGTTTCAGCCCCTCCCTCCTAGGGTCTAGTACAGCCAATGCATCCCCATTTACTTGAGGCCAATTTGGCTGTTAAAGGTGGCCGTGGCCTCTGTAAGTTATTCTCAGACTTGGGGCTGTAATGTTATTCACAGTGATGGATGCCTGATCCCATGAGAGGTTTTGGTCATTTTTGTGTTTCAGTTGATCCACAGTTATTCACCTGGATGTTAATGCTGACAGGCTATCTTGGTTGACTCCATCCCTGAGACTACGTGGACGCCCTTCCTGGGAGAACATACCCAGTGCCCTCTGGGGTGCAGTGGAGGTTGGTGTGTATGTATGTCTGTCTTAGCAGGCCTCAGATTATTGCTTCCTAATAAAATTCTGATAGCTGGGCCCCATCAATATCTCAAATACATGTGAGGAAACGTTAATTTAGAATCAATTTTAGGATGTTTCAGACTGTAAAGTCCTTTTAACTAGATCTCTGGCGAAGATGTAGGAGCACTTTATGGGACTGTAAATTTCATGTTGAACCGTCTTCGTGAAATACACATCTCCCCTACCCACAAGCTGTTCTCTCCATATCAATCATGGCCCTGCAAGTAATGTTTCACAAATATTCTGTAAATCACAGAAAACCCCATGATAATGTGAAATATGACTTTCACTTGTCTGTTAGACAAAAGAATCACACATGCCTCTCTCCCATCAGCACTAACATTTGTTATGGATAATAACACTTTCAATCACAACTATTTTTGGAAAACGGGTTTATTTTAAACCTTCCCTCCCCCACTGAAAACACTCTCCCAAGGACACAGACTCCTACAAACCACAGCCCATTAATCCAACTATGGAATGAGAACTTTTTCTTCCCACTAACTTAAAAAAAAAAAAAAAGTTGTTTTTAAAAGAGTTGGCCTAAAAGCCAAGGTATAAGATTGAGTAGCATTCTACCTTGGCTGATTGGTGTAAGAGGGGACTGGGTCTCTAAAGGCCCAATCTTGACTCTGTGACAACACAGCTGAATCCTCCTCCCTGTTGGAGCAGCAGGTGACCAGTCTAGAGGTGTATTTTGAACGTCACCACAGCCATATGGATGACAGGCTCACCCTGCCTCCAGATGACTGCTGGGGAAGCAAAACCTCCAGCATAACTACAGGCCTTGCACAGTTCTGAATACTTTGGTAACCTGTCTGTTTTCCCTTCTCCGTAGCCAGCTTCAGGACTGACTGATCATGACTTCTATAAAGGAGCAGGCAGCAATCAGCCGGCTCTTGAGTTTTTTACAGGATTGGGACAATGCTGGCAAAGTCGCCAGGAGTAACATCCTCAACAATTTCATCGAAGCCAACCAAGGCAAGACTGCCCCTGAGCTGGAGCAGGAGTTTTCCCAGGGAGCCAGCTTGTTCCTCGTCCGCCTGACCACCTGGCTGAGACTCACGTATCCTTTGCTGAACAGGAAGACAATTAGGCGATCTTCAAAAGAGAAAAGGAATGAAGACTGTTGAGGGAGCGCTTCCTCTGACTGTCTCTCAGATATTAGAACAGGATGTAATAGTGATCAAAATACCATCCCTGAAGTTAAGAACTCCCTCAGCATCCTGTCTTTCCAGCCTGTAAATATATCCTCATTCTCTCTGCTAACCTCTCTTGCTCCCATCAGAGCTGCAGTGGGTGTTCTTTGTCTAGGACCAATCTTCTATCTGTACTATGCTTGAATCCCCTCCTGCCTCACCAAGGATTTATTCATTCTCTCCTATAGGCTTTACTTTTGCCCCATTACCAAGTTTTATATATATATATATATATATACATATACACACACACATATATATACACATATACATATATATATATATATATATATATACATACACATATATATTTTTAAAATTTATTTGGCTGTACTGGATCTTAGTTGCAGCATTTGGGATCTTTAGTTGTGACATGTGGGGTCCAGTTCCCTGATCGGGGATGGAACCCTGGCTCCCTTCACTGGGAGCACAGAGTCTTAGCCACTGGACCACCAGGGAAGTTCCTCCTTATCAGCTTTTTCATCAGCATTTATGGATGCTCAAATCTCTTCTAACTTAAAAACTGAAATTCAGTCCTTGCTGGAACCCAGATTCCACCTTGCTTCTGCCCTTTGTGCTGAAGCTTGTGGAAAAGGCTGTTGACCTTCCCCACCTCCCTTTCTCCTCCAACCACTGCAGTCTGACTTCTGACCCCTCCGCTCCACTGACGCAGGTCTTGCAAAGGTTACCAATGCCTTTCTAATTGTGAGACCCAGTGACCACGTCCTCAGTCCTTATACATGACCTCTCAGTGGCATATGTCACACAAACCATTCCCAAAACACTGTTCCCTAAAGCTAATGTAATGTTTATGTGAATTGTACCTCAATTTTTAAAAAAAGGAAAAAAAGAAGCCCTGTAGACCACATCACCAAACACACACACACACACACACACTCACACACACACTCTTCCTGTGGTTTCTGTGATACCAGTTCTCTTGGTTTTCTTCTTTCTTTCTGTCCATCCTTCTGCTCTTCAGCCGCCCCTTAATCCCTGGTGTTCTATGGGACTCTAGCCACAGCCATCTTCTCTGCTCACTCTCAGATTCTCCCTAAGTGATCTAACCACTGTTGGGATGTCGCCATCACTCCAGTTTAAGGACTCTCAGTTGTGTCCCCCGCCCACATTTCTCTGGAATCTGAGTTCCGTATCTTTTAACCCAGCTGCCACCTCCACTTGTCTCCCACAGAAGGACCCTCACGTCTCTGGCTTGGGAAGCTAGGTGAATGGGGTGTCATTACATGGGAAGAGAATACAAGGAGAGGAGTGAGTCTGGAGTGGATACATTTGAGTCGGGACACGTTGTGTTTGAGGTGCCTGTGCCCAGGAGCCCCAGCAGCAGACGGGGGGCCGAAGACAGATGCAGTCCCCATCACGGTGATAGTCTTGAGTGGCAGGTAGTAGCACTCCATGAATTCATCTCAAACCTTTTCTTTTACTTATTTATTATTTATGTATTTTTGGCTGAGCTGGGTCTTCGTTGCCGCGTACGGGCTTTCTTTGGTTGCAGTGAGCGGGGGCTACTCTTTGTTGCAGTGCCCTGGCTTCTCATTGCCATAGCTTCCCTAGTTGTGGAGCACAGGCTCTAGGCACACGGGCTTCAGTGGTCGCGGCTCACGGGCTCTAGAGCACAGCTCAGTAGTTGTGCTGCAGGGACTTAGTCTCTCCGCAGCATGCATCTTCGCGGGTCAGGGACTGAACCCATGTCCCCTGCTTTGCTCCGTGGATTCTTATCCACGGAGGTGGATAGGAAGTCCTCAGACCTTTTCTTATGTATTGTTCTCTTTGCCTGAACCCTCTCCCTTAAACCTCCTCTTTATTTGACCAGTTCCTCTCTATTATTCAGGTCTCAGTCCAGGCATCACTTTCTCAGGAAGCCCTTTTCAGAGTCCCAGACTAGTTTATGTTCCCCTGTTAAATATACTCACGGTACTTAACATCTTATTATTACTTGAGATATTGATCTCTCTTCCCCCACTGGATTGTAAACTCTACAAGGGCAGGAATTACATCTGTTCTACTCATGTCTGTATTTCTAACACCTAGCACATGCCTGGCACATAAAGGGTACTTAACACATGTTTGTCGAACAAGGCAATGATTGAACCAGAGAACCTGCAACTAAGCAGAACTAAAGGCTTAGGTAACCACAACTTTCATTTTTTACAATTAATCATTGATAAAATTATTCATCAGACTCAGGCCTAGGACACAGTCCAAAGGGAGTCCTCTGAATACATCTTTGGGTTAACCCCAATGTTCTTAGACATTAATGTGCATAAAAGAGGTTTAAAATGCAGATAACAAGTCTACCCCCCCACACACGACCCCCAGGTTTTGATTTAGTAGATTAAGGGTGAGTCCTTGGAATCTTTGTCAAAAAAATGCTGGGTGATTCTGATGCCAGTGATCCACAAGTAGTGTTTTGAAAAGCATCAGCATTACCATCTGACTTTGTCCCCTCAACTCGTGACACTAATCTCATCAAGGCTGTCACTAACCTGACAACATTTTCCATTTGACCAAAGAGTGACGCAAGTGAGACAGGGTCATACATGTTCAGAGTCAGATCCTAGCTTTATTTAAAACTGTGATATTAATTGATTGATAAATGTGGACCATTTTTAAAGTCTTTATTGAATTTGTTACAATGTTGTTTCTGTAGTTCATGTTCTGGTTTTCTTTGGCCATAAGGCATGTGGGATCCTACCTCCCCAACCAGGGACTGAACCCTTATCCCCTATGTTGGAAGGTGAAGTCTTAACCACTTGACCGCCAGGGAAGTCCCAAAACTTTAATACTTTGTTCATCGTGGATATTTGTGTTATTTTTCTTTTTTTTAATAATGCAGGAAATATTATTTAATCAGTGAGTCTTTTGATAGCCCCTTAAATTTCTTACTTGAAGGAATTCCCTGGCACTTAGGTTAAGATTCTACACTTTCACTGCCCAGGGTGTGGGTTCAATCCCTGCTCAAGGAACTAAGATCCTGCAAGCCATGTGGCATGGCCAAAAAAAAATTCCTACCAGAAGAAAGTGAGCCGCTTGCCTCACACCCGAGCCCTGGCTCTGCTTGACCACTGCCCCTTCTAAAGCTCTCCTCTCCTGTCCCTTCTCCTATCACTGTTTCTCAGTAACCATTACTGGGACTTTCCTCGGTTCAGTTGCTCAGTCGTGTCCAACTCTTTGCAACCCCCATGGACTGCAGCACACCAGGCCTCCCTGTCTATCACCAACTCCCGGAGCTTGCTCAAACTCATGTCCATTGAGTTGGTGATGCCATCCTCTGCCATCCCCTTCTCCTCCTGCTTCAATCTTTTCCAGCATCAAGGTCTTTTCCAATGAGTCAGTTCTTTGCATCAGGTAGCCAAACTATTGGAGCTTCAGCTTCAGCATCAGTCCTTCCCATGAATATTCAGGACCTATGTCCTTTAGGATTGACTGGTTTGATCTCCTTGCAGTCTAAGGAACCCTCAAGGGTCTTCTCCAACACCACAGTTCAAAAGCATCAATTCTTTGGCGCTCAGCTTACTTTATAATCCAACTCTCACATCCATACATGACTACTGGAAAAACCATAGCTTTGACTAGACGGATCTTTGTCAGCAAAATAACATCTCCACTTTTTAATATGCTGTCTAGGTTGGTCATAGCTTTTCTTCCAAGAAGCAAGTGTCTTTTAATTTCAAGGCTGCAGTCACCATCTGCAGTGGTTTTGGAGCCCAAAAAAATAAAGTCTGTCACTGTTTCCATTGTTTCCCTATTTGTCATGAAGTGATGGGACCAGATGTCATGATCTTAGTTTATTGAATGTTGAGTTTTAAGCCAACTTTTTCACTCTCCTCTTTCACTTTCATCAAGAGGCTCTTTAGTTTCTCTTTGCTTTCTGCCATAAGGGTGGGGTGATCTGCATATCTGAGGTTATTGATATTTCTCCCGGCAATCTTGATTCCAGCTTGTGCTTCATCCAGCCTGGCATTTTGCATGAATACTCTGCATATAAATTAAATAAACAGGGTGACAGTATACAGCTTTGACGTACTCTTTTCCCAATCTGGAAACAGTCTGTTGTTCCATGTCCGGTTCTAACCATTGCTTCTTGACCTGCATACAGATTTCTCAGATGGCAGGTCAGGTGGCCTGGTATTCCCATCTCTTTAAGAATTTTCCAGTTTGTTATGATCCACACAGTCAAAGGCTTTGGCATAGTCAATAAAGCAGAAGTAGATGTTTTTCTGGAACTGTCTTACTTTTTCGATGATCCAGTGGATGTTGGCAATCTGATCTCTGGTTCCTCTTCCTTTTCTAAATCCAGCTTGAATATCTGCAAGTTCTATCACCCCTTAAATGTTAGTGTTTCCAAGAATTCTCTCTTCAGCCCTCTTCTTTTCTTCGTCAATCATTGTACTTGTTAACTGAGGCATTGTATCATTTTATCCTAAGTTATCAATCAGAGCACCAGACATTTAGTGGACACTCAGTCAATTCTTATTGAATGAACAACACGTTTTTTTTGTCACACTGCACAGCTCATGGGATCTCATTTCCCGACCAGAGACTGAACCCGGGCCACAGCAGTGAAAGTGTGGAGTCCTAACTACTAGGCAACCAGGGAATTCCTGAACAACGCTTTCAATATATAGTTGTATATTCAGTTTCTACACCTGAAATTTATAATTTCCTAACTTTTTGTGACCTTGTCATACAACAGAGAAAACAGACTGGCTGAAGACACGGAGCATTTTGAATATCTCTTCAAAATGTTGTGTTTTGAATCAGTGACCCCACCCCCCCACCCCACTACTCTCCAGCCCTCCAGTTATGGTGGATTTGAAGGAAAACAAATCAATATAGCATCATTATATTTTATAAAATTGACTGCCACCTCATTCCACATTAGCTTCAAACCCCTTTTTTAAACTTGAACTTCCAGAACTGATCAGTAAAAACTAAGGATGTTTATATTATAATGACAAAATGATTAGTTACCATATATTGAGTCTTTATGCTCTAAGCACTGAACTCTGTGTACCATATGAATATCTCATTTGAGCCTCACACCAGGCCTAATAGGTGATTGGTATTGTCCCATTTTAGAGATTAGAAAGATGAGCCTTGAAAAGGTTGAATAATTTACTAGTAGGCACAGAGATGGGGAAGGCATAGCAACCCATTCCAGGATTCTTGCCTGGAGAATCCCCACAGACTGAGGAGCCTGGAGGGCTACAGCCTATGGGGTTGCAAAGACTTGGACACAGCCGAGCGACTAAGCACAGCACAGCACAGGTACACAGACAAACACTGGCCCCAGATCCAGGCATCATCCACTCTCCCTCAGGGTCTGCCTGCCACGGTCCCACCTCCAACACCATCCAAGGAGACCATCCGGCAGGATGTCCTGACAGGAAGAACTCAGGCTCTGAGTTAGGCTGCATAGGTTCAAATGCCAGTTCCATCAGTGAATTGGGGACCTTGAACAGGTCATTATAATCTGTCTGGGGTTATCTCCTCATGAAGAAAGTAGAAATACTGATAGCATCCACTGCAGGGTGCAGTGACAGTTAACTGAGACCAGGCAGGCAAAGCTGTTAGCACAGTGCCTGGCACACAAGAAATGCTGAGCACTTGTTAGCTCCTGCTGATAGCTTGGCAGAAGTGGCAAACTTCTGGAACTAATTGCTGGAAATAATGGACCAGAAATACATATAGTGAGTGGTTATGATAATAAGGCTAGCCTGGGACAGAGGAAAAAGAAGGTGTCAAGAGTTGGTCAGCCTCACTGGTGACTAAGAAAAGAGGCACTGAGGAGGCATGGAGGCAGGAATGGGGGCAGGGGTTTCAGGGAAGCAGGGTGATGAGCTAGTAGCCTGGCCCCCAGCTACAATGGCAACAGGCAGGGCAGCCTGGCTCCAGAGCAAACACTGTTTTTGCAGTAAAGAGCCTTTCCTAATGAGCCAATCTGTCTCTACTTCTATTGGCACCCTGGGAACAAGGGTGCAGCAGAGATAATTTGCCTCATGCACCCTCCCTTCCCAACAAAGCACCATTACCTCCAACCCATTACATTAGCCTTTATCAGTCTTGGAAGCTCTCAGTCATCCTCCATGAGCTGCAATAATTTCAGCTAATTTCTTAAGTGTTCTAAGAGCCCGTGATGTGTTATGAGCCTAGTAATTGTTGACTGGTTCCTCTTCTGTTGTGGCTTGATTTCATACCTTGCATCTGAGCTGATGCGTGCTCTGGGTGCTTTATTACAATGAAGCTTTTTGCAAAAGCTCACATTAGAAAATAACATTAAGTACTGAGGTTCTTTTAAATCAGAGTTTAATTTTTCCACCATTTCCTATTGTTCTTATTAGGAAGACACACAATTCTTCATAAAGATAGTGACCTCCAGTATAAAGCTTTGAGCAAGGCAAAATTGAAAATTAATGATGAAGCTGATTATTTTTTAGAGAAGTCCAAGAATGAGGCACAAAGTAATGAACTGTGCTGAGACCCAAGGGTACAATGGTCATGGCATAGGGAGAATTGTGAAATTGACCCCCAGCATTCTTCATGCACCTTCTATTCATCAGAGCCTCTTACTCTCTAGAGAGCCCATCAGAGCCAGGGTGGTTGAACTGCCTCAGAAGAGCTTCCTGGAAAACCATGAACATCCCTGCCAGCACCCCTCATCCACCTGTCCCTTCAACCTAGTAGTCCCTCTCAGATAAAGGACACAGTTCAGCTGTTGGTCATCCTGGGCCATAGGTGGTATCAGGGATCAGACATGGGATGGAAAACCACCCTGATATTCACTCTTTAACTGTCGTACAGATACATGACTGGTTCGCCTTTAGATAAGCTGCTCAGGTCCATTGGCATCTTCTTATCAGCTGTAAGCAGGTGAGTTCTGTTCTAGAGAGATTCTGGAGTCTCAGTTGCCTACCAGGCTCATGGTGTCCTTGGCATTCCCACCCCATGGGACCTTGACTTTCTTTTATCAGTGGGTACCTAGTAGCCCTCAAAATGGACCCAGAGGTGGTGGCACCTGTAGTCATGGTCTAGTTGCTTCTCCATCTCATGTGCTCCATTGATACTTTGCTAGTCAGCATCCTCTTGGTTGTGAATTACAGGAAACTAACTCATACTGGACCTGGGCTTCCCTGGTGGCTCAGATGGTAAAGAATCTGCCTGCAATGAGGGAGACCTGGGTTCCATCCCTGGGTTGGAAATATCCCCTGGAGGAGGGAAAGGCTACCAGTATTCTGGCCTAGAGAATTCCATGGACTATATAGTCCATGGGGTCACAAAGAGCTGGACACAACTGAGCGACTTTCACTTTCATCTCATACTGGACAACGAAAATGTAAACATTATTAACCCACTTAACTGAAATGTCCGGAGAATGGAAATCCATATTTCCAGGTTCACTAGATCCAAGGGCTCAAAAAATATCAGTAGTTGGTCACTCCTGCTTTTTGTTTATTTCTCAGCTCATTTCTCCTCTATATTCATAGACCTCCATGTGTTGTGGTCTTCAGATGCTCGTCTCTGGCTCAGTCACATCAAAAATAGAGCTTGTAGGACTTCCCTGGCAGTCCAGTGGTTAGGACTCCATACTTCCAATGCAAGGGGGCACAGATTTGATCCCTGGTCAGGGAACTAGGATTCCACATGCTATGAAGTGCAACCTCCCCCAAAAAAAATTTTTAAGCAAGCGTGTGAAAAAAAGAGAGCATGTATTTCCCAAGGGTTCCCTAGAAAATCCTGAGCCTCATTGGACCAACTTAGGTCATATGCCTGGTCCCAAATCAATTACTACAGTCAGAGGATGACATACTCTTTGTCATCTGCTCACCCTCCAAAAACCACATGGCTCATGAGTGGTGAAGGGGTGACTCCCCAAGGGACAATTGAGGTGTTCTTTCAAGAAGAGACACAGATGTTGGAAAGTCAAGCACAGGAAATGGCCATTGTATTTGACTTTCACATTTCCTTCCGGGAGGAAGAAGTTCTTAACTATTATATCATTTTATCTATGAATATTTCCTGGATAGGAGGACTATATGAAGAAAGGTCCTTGAGATCTCTTAGAAAGGTTCAGTTTAGTTCAGTTCAGTTGTGTCTGACTCTTTGCGACCCTATGGACTGCAGCATGCCAGGCTTCCCTTCCATCACCATATCCCAGAGCTTGCTCAAACTCATGTCCATCAAGTCAGTGATGCCATTCAGCCATCTCATCCTCTGTCATCCCTTTCTCCTCCTACTTTCAATCTTTCCCAGCATCAGGGTCTTTTCCAAAGAGTCAGTTCACATCAGGTGGCCAAAGTATTGGAGTTTCAGCTTCAGCATCAGTCCTTCCAATAAATATTCAGGACTGATTTCCTTTAGGATGGACTGGTTGGATCTCCTTGTAGGCCAAGGGACTCTCAAGAGTCTTGTCCAACACCACACTTCAAAAGCATCATAACCTTAGAAAGGTTAGTGCCAAGGAACTTGACAAGTGTCTTATTTCTACTTTTCTATTTCTCTGGACAGTAATCGATACCTCATAGAGTTTCTTGAGGTTGGAGGGGTCCTAACACTCTTGGAAATACTTGCGCTGAATAAGATCAAGGAGGAGGACAAGAAGGAATCCATCAAGCTACTTCAGGTGATTGCAAACTCTGGCAGGAAGTACAAGGAGCTCATCTGTGAAAGCTACGGTGGGTATCGTGTAGGACGAGGGTGTCACTCCCCCCATCTCCCTGGGGACCCCCAGAACTGCTAGAGGAAAATGCGCCAGGGACCTGGCGGCACAGGAAGCATTCTGTAGAGTGGACTCCCTTAGCTCCCATCCATATTCACCACCAGAAGACCGAGATTTATGACTTTCCTGATTCATCATTTGCTCAAATCTTTTCGTGGTGGTTTTGGAAATACTTCATTTCAAATATATCCTATTTCATGCATCCATTCAGCAAAGAGCTATTGAGTTATTTGTGAATAACTCTAGAAATAAATTGAACTAAAATTGTTAAATATGGTGCTAGGTGTACACTAAGGTGGGCTTGCCTGGTGGCTTAGTGATAAGGAATCCACCTGCAAGACAGGAAACGCGAGTTTGATCCCTGGGTCGGGAAGAACCTTTGGAGAAGGGCATGGCAATCCACTCATTATTCTTGCCTGGAGAATCCCATGGACAGAGGAGCCTGGTGAGCTATAGTCCATAGCGTTGCAAAGAGTCAGACACAACTGAAGCGACTGAGCATGCATGCATACACTAAGGTGCTGGGAATACAAAGCTAAATAAAATATAGTCCTTATCCTCAAAGAGCTTCCAATGAAGTTAGGAAAGGAAATCACCCAGTCATTTCAGGATGTTCCGTCAAGCACTCTGCTTGAGACATGCACAGGAGAGGCCGTCTCCACGCACGCCTCTTTTAAGTGCATCCCTCGCTGCCCTTCCCTCATGTCTTTCTGAGCCTTGGTGTATTTACTCATAAAATAAATACACCAAGGGACTAATACCTCTCTCTCAGTGTAGTTTCCAGGACTAAATATAGTAGTATTTGTTAAAACATTTACTGCTGACTGCTACCTATGTTTTAGTTATCATGCAACCGTAAAACAGGCAAGTTTTATTTGTGCATTTTGCAGAGCCATTTTAAATTTGAAAACAGATTTTGACAAGCTAACATGCCTAGGTTGAAACAAAATCCTGCAGATACATAACCATGAGATGAAAAAAACAGTGATGCAACATGAGAACAGAGCCTCGATTTTGCTTTGAACAGGACTGGTCAAATATATCTTAATCCTATTATTTCATATTATATAACCTCAAGTGAGGATAATTTTCATAAACCCCTTCTCGTCTGGTATCTCCTTTCTCCTTTGCTCAGGTGTACGATCCATAGCAGAATTTTTGGCAAAGTCCAAGTCAGAAGAGACTCAGGAAGAAGTTCAGGTCCTCTTGGATTCTTTGATCCACGGTAATCCCAAGTACCAGAACCAAGTGTACAAAGGTCTGATAACTCTGCTGCCCTGTGCATCCCCAAAAGCTCAGCAGCTGGCCCTGCAGACACTCAGGACTGCCCAGGTAAGCCCAGGCTGCACGCTCCAGTGATTCTGATTCCAACTCAGTAATCCGACAATTACCTTCCACAGTTGCGCTCCACACAGGCATGAGAAATAGAGCTCGACCTCCCACTGCCTGTCTGCTGTTCAATCAGCGTTACTTCCAGAAGGCCAGAGCAGGGCAGAGAGTTCGTGTCTCCCCGCAGACTGATTTGTCCTGTTTACTTAAGGATCAGAAAGATGTTGGCAGACTAAAAGTGGTTGAGACAAGCAACAAGGATGATGGAAGGACCGTAGAAAAGATTAAAGGAGTCAATTTGATAGGGAAGGAAGCAGGGTGCCGTTGTAGGCTGCATGTAAGTGAAGAGAGGAGCCAGATCTCCAGTGCACGGGAAAGCTCCATTTCTTTCATCGGCTCCTGCCTTCCTCTGGGTGCCCTGGCATACAGAAAAGTCAGCTTTGGGGTTTGGTGATGACCACACGAAGACACCCTGCCTAGTGAAGCGGGGACACCATGCCTGCAAGAGAGGTTTTGAGATGAACCATCTAAAGCTCTCAGTACAGCTTCAGGAGGGGCTACAGGCAAAAAGACAACTAAAAGATCAAAGAGGGAACTTCTCGGTGGTCCAGTCGTTGGGACTTCACTTTCCAATGCAAGGAGTAGGGCTTTGATCCCTAGTCAGTGAGCTAAGATCCCACATGCCTCATGGCCAAAAAGCAAAACATAAAACAGAAACAGTATTGTAGCAAATTCATAAAGATTTAGGGAGTTCCCTGGTGGTTCAGTGGTTAAGAATCCACCTGCCAATACAGAGGCCACAGGTTCAATCCCTCAGCCATGAGGTATCCTCATGCCTCGAGGTGAGTAAGCCCGTGCGCTACAACTACTGAGTCAGCGCTCTAGAGCCCCAGAGCCACAACTACTGAAGCCTGTGCCCCCTAAAGCCCAAGCTCTGCAACAAGACACCGTAATGAGAAGCCCAAGTACTGCAACGAAGAGTAGCCCTGAACTCACCACAACTAAAGAAAGCCCCACATCCATGAAGACCCATCGCTCTCAAATGGTCCACATCAAAAAAAAAAAAATCTTAAAAAAAAAAGAAAAGCAGTCAAGAAGACACCAGTTTTGGACTTCGTGGGTGAATTGTATGCCACCAAGAGAACAGGAAACATGGGTTTGATTTCGGAGGAATTAGGTTTTGACCCAATAAACTTGATGAGTCTCAGTGGCTCCCAAGTGCCTGTGCGAGCAGCATGGCACTGATTGCTGGTTGCAAAAGATATAGATGGGTCACTTGTGCAAACAATGCTAAATCCTGAGCCCCGCTCCCACAGAATCTGACAGCTTTCAGGGGGCCTTTAAGTTTCCCCAGCCAATGATGATTCCTAGCTGTATTGAGGAATCACTGCTGGGGACATCTAGTAGAGATGCCCACAGGACAGCAGGAAATTAAAGTCTGAGGCTCCAGAGAGATCCAAGATGAAGATGGCCTTTTGTTGGAGTTTCTGAGTGGAGAAGTGGTATTTGAAAGAGTAGAAGTAAATAAGATCACCCAGGTAGAGTGTACCAAGTAAGAAGAGAAGGAACACCACCAACACTTAAGAGATGAGCTCAGGAAGAAGACCAGTAAAACATCTGATTAGCATTATTATTTCCAGTTCCCATGTTTTAAGTGCCTCCTTCACCATACTTGGGGCTTTACTTACACTGTCTCTTTCAGTCTTCACAATGGCTGATGGAGGCAAGGACTATCATCCCCTCGATGGGTGATGGAGCCAAGTCTTAGGAGGATGTTCAGTGACTTATTCAAGGCCGCACACGGAAGATATTTACTAAGTGACTACTAAATCCAGCTCTACCTCAAGACCTTATTCTCTCCATATACTACGCTGCCTCTTTGAAAAAGAACCAGAAGCTGTAAAAGGAGAACAGAAAAACACAGATTTGTGAAAATGAATGGAAAGGAGTTTCAAGAAGCAGGACATGATCAGCTGGCTCAAATACAGTAGAGAGATTGTGGGGGTACAACAGAAAGCTGGGCCCAGCAGGAAAAGTTTCAGTGAATTGGGGGACTATCCAATGGCAAGAAAACAAAAATTCTAGCCACCTGTCAAAGGATGCATGGAGGATGGAGACGTAGCTTCCCCTAGGAAGCTTAGGTGTAAAGAGGGAACGAGCAGTAGTGAGAAGAGACCGAGTTGAAGGACAGTTGCATTGAAGCTGGGCGAGTGTGAGGATGTTTAATGCCGAAGGACAGGAACCCAATGCACAGGCAGGGGTGGAAGATGCAGACAGGGTGGGGGGCTGCCTAATTGGGTGAGGTCTTGCTGAAGAAGAGATTTAGGATCTTAGATGAGTTCCCTTCTCTTGGGCCTGTGCCCATCCGAGATAGCCAACTGGTGTCTGCACTTCTAGCGATGGCCAGCTAGCCTCCACAGAGTGCCTCCTGAGCCAGGTGGTCCAGTGGCAACCTTGGCAGATCCTCGGGAGATTTCTGGCTGCCCATCTCCACCCTCCTCTCCAGAAGAAATTAACCTCTTCAGTGTGGGGGCCAAGGCCCCGTGACTCACTGCTGCTCGCCTGACCCCCCACAACTCCCCATTCAGCCAGGCTGCCCAGCTGTTTGGAAGTCAGCTTTTCACTTTTCCCAGGTGGACTAGATGGAAAGAGTAACCACCTTGTCCCCCTGTCTGTCTTGCCAGTCAATCATCGGGACTACACACCCCAGCATCGTGGACTGCGTGCTGAAGGTGCTATGCACAATGCACTTGGAAGTCCAGTATGAAGGTAAGGGAGATGGCTGGGTCTGCTCCAGATGGCCGAAGGTGGCCATGAGAACTGGGTAGACTGGCTCTGAGATGTTTTCTCCTATTCACAAAGAGCCTTACTGAGTGTCTGAGACAGCCTCGGCAGACGGAAGGTGCTGACTTGGTACTGATGGACAAGTTATGCAGAAAAAAATGACAGTCACGTTCTGCACTAGGAATCAGCCACATGCTCTCGCAGTTGTTAAAATCTTCCTGGGTCCAGGGCTGGCTCTGGTTCCCGGACTTTTGTGGCACATCCCTTCCAATAGAAATCACCCTGAGGACTGTTCTTCTAAGAAACTAGATTGAATAATGGTAGTATTAATAGGTTTTTATTTATTGGGGTCACCTATGCACCAGCCACTTTCCATGCATCATTCCATTTAATTCTCAAAATAACCACAGGAGTATAGATTCTGGCACATATTAGATATTCAAATGCTCAAATGAATGAATGGTGGGGGTTGGTATTTTTATGTTTTTCAAGCTAAAGCACTGAAGCACAGAGAGATGAAGGATGCTGTTACACACATTTATACAGCTAACCAGATTCAAACCAGAGCTGTCTGACTCCAAAGCCTGTGCTTTTAAAATGTAGCACATGGCAGGTGTTTATAGGATATTATTTTTCTTCCCTGCTCCTATGATGGTTCAGAAAAGGGAGATTCTGTTTTCAACAGGAGAGATCAAAGAGGGATTCTCTGAGAAGGTGGTATCTGAGCCTTCAAAATGGGAAGGATTAGGGAAGGTAGAAAGAGGAGGAGAGCATTCTGGGAAGGAGCCTGGTGTAAAGGCCTAGACACAGGGAAGTATAAGATGTGTCTAGGGAATGGCAGGGAGGTCATTTGGTGGAGGTTTGGTAGAGGTCTCACTCCAGGAAGACCTAGGAAAGTAGGCCAGGACCAGATCGTGGAGTTCCTAGAATGCCAGATGGAATCGTGAACCAGTACTGCAGGGAGACTAGAGGCTGGAGGCCAGCTGGAAGGCCTTTGTTCAGACAGAAAAATGGACTGTGCTGATGTAACTGGGGAGAGAGGCCCCAGCAAGAGAGAGGAGGGACATGACTGGGAACCACCTAGGTGTGGAGAATAAAATGGCACATGAAGAGGGAATGGGCCCAGCCAAGGAGGCCAGGGCAGGGAGGCCTGCCAGACAGGAAGGGCCACCTGTGTCCAGGATGACAGGCTGAACCCCCAGGTGCAGGAAGCCTGGGGGATGGGGCAGAAGGAGTAGACAGGCACTGGGGTTAAGGTATGCACGTGCGATCCTGGGGTTCACTCCCAGCCTAGATTATTTTTTCAGAAGCAGTGTTGAAATTGAATGTCTGTCTTATCTTGCCTTCAGCAGCACTATCGACTGTATTTGTTTGACCCCTGCAGGGGTGCATGGACGCCTATGTTGATTATCAGTGCCATGTTGGAATTGGTTCCAGCTGGAGCAGGGTCTCCTAGCTAGGGAGGAGTCACCGGCGAGGGAGTGGAGTGGTGGAGGCACCTAGGTCAAGGTCAGGCCCAGTAGAGAGTTGTAGCTGGCATTGGAGCAAAGGGGTGAGCTGGTGGTAGAATCATGTCAGGAGACTTAATCATACAACCTGGAGAAGACTAGATTGCCTGGCTCTGTGACCTCCCTCCCCTCGCCCCACCTCCACATGGCAAAGTGACCACTCCCACTTCCCAGCTTAAGCTTTCTTCAAAGGCCTTTCCTGACCTGTCTTCAACCCTGTCCAAATGTCAGCCTGCTTCTTTATTCCCACCTTGCACCCCCCTCACCTCCCTCCCGTGGAGCAGTTATCTCCAGAATATACCGCCCTTTACATAAACTGTGAACAGTTTTCTTGTAGCTCGTGTCGCTTGTTCCTAATACCCTCAACACAGTCCCCAGCGTAGGTTAGGTCCCGGGTACATGTCTGTTGAGTGGATGATAGAGAGAGTCCTCCCATGCACACTGTATTAGTGAGCAGTTTCAGGCCTGGGATGGGGTCTGATTCATCTCTTTCTCCAGCTCAGGGCCTGGCAAAAAATGGTGGTACACACTATTAAGTTTGTTGAACAAATTTATGGAAAAAATGGCTTAGCTTCCTTTTTTCCAACAAAACCCTCCAGAGCTGAACTGGTGCAGCTTCTTCCCATATCGGACCCCATCTTGAGTCCCTCTGTTTTTATTATGAAACAACCTACTCTGTCAGAAGCCGCAGGGGCATGAAGCTCTGGACCGCCTTCTTGGTTTGATGTCTGCTGGTGTGATAACAGCGACACTGTACACCTCAAAATAATTTCAGATAAGCCAGACTCATAACAGGGTACAAGAAACGTCTGTTGAATGAAAGAATTGCTCTCCCTTTTTTTTTTTAAACCAGGCGCTTTCAAAGTAGTCTTTGTGTCCCTGGGAATTCAGAGCATGCATGTGCATTGATTGTCCACTAGGGGGAACTCTTTCACAAGATGGGTGGAGCGGAAGTTAAGGGCAAGAATACAGTTCGCTGGAGGAGGGCATGGCAACCCACTCCAGTATTCTTGCCTGGAGAATCCTCATGGACGGAGGATCCTGGTGGGCTACAGTCCATGCGGTCGCAAAGAGTCCTACGCGACTTAAGCGACATAACAGGCAGGCATACAGTTTCCACAGCAACCCCGTCAAGGGCAGGGGCGGGAAGGTCTGACGGGCCTTAGATGGGGTCCTAACAGCAGTGACTGGATAGGACCAGAGATTAATTTCTCTGAGTGTGAGGACAGCAAATTGCATGGCCAAGGTGGAGCACTCCCCACCACCAACCCCCGCCCCCCAGGATGACGGCAACATCAGGGGACACAGATGATATGGCTGAAGGGACTAAACTTTGTAAGGGTAGGGTTGGTTTGTTTTAAAAAAAAAAAAAAAAACAAGTATTGATTGAACATCTGTGGTGTGCCAAGTACTATGCCAAGCCCTGGGGGTTTGTTTGCCTTTGCTTGTATTGGAGGAGAAAAAGGAATAATTTGGAAGGAGGAAGGTCCGGAGGCTGTGCCCTCTAGCCTGCGTGCTGTGTGACGGACGGTGGAGGTAGGGGGAGGACGTCCTTCCCTGAGGAGGCGCCGGGGGAAGTGGACTCTCAGGGAGAGTCCCATTAAAACAGAAGGTTAAGAGGCTCAGAGGCCTGGTGACTCTCTCCCTTTGCCATGGGTGTCTGCGATGGAGGAGCCAGGAGCTGACTTCACCTGCTTTTACACTGAGGAGCCCACCTTCCCACCTCCAAGCCTACCAACCTGCCTGGCAGCTCACCCACCTTCTCTCTTCTCTTTCCCATTACAGCAGAGTGTCCCTGCTCCCGTCACAGGACCCCCTTCTACTTCTGCTTGTTCTCTGAAGCACATTCTCTCAGACTTCTCTTCTGAAGCTGCCCCCTCCCTTTTTCTCTGGCAGTTCATCTCCGTTCACATGTAGACATGCTCTGTAGATGGCAATTATTCCTCAATAAAGCTGATAACATTTTAACGTATTTTTAAAAATAGGCTGTATATCACCCATCTTCAAAATGAGTCCCTCCTTGCTAACCTATGGATTAAACAATATGTAAAAGACATAACCCCCCCAAAGAAAGATTAATTTATCCTATTTAGGAATGCACAGTTCTAAGTTCCTTGACTTCAAGGTCCCTTCCAGCTCCATTTTTCCATTTTCTTCCTACGTGATCTCACAGCTCCTTTTGACCCAGTGGTCAAAAAACAGCTCACTCTCTTCTCTCAGCTTCTGTGATATAACTTTGAGTTTTCCTCCTGCGGTCTGGTTTCACCAAGTCTCCTTTGCTGGTTTTTTCTATTTCTCTTACTAGACTGTTGGGTCAGCCCACATCCCACCTCTTCAGACGAGATCGGGCGCGTTCAGGGTGGTATGGCCGTAGACTGTCCCACCTCTTTAGCAACACCTTCTCCCTGTGTGATTTTGCCTGTTGTTGTTCAGTCTCTAGGTCATATCTTACTCTTTGCGACCCCATGGACTGCAGCATGCCAGGCTTCCCTGTCCTGCACTATCTCCCAGAGTTTGCTCAAACTCATGTTCATTGAGTCAATGGTGCCATCCAACCATCTCATCCTCTGTTGCCCCCTTCTCCTCCTCAGTCTTTGCCAGCATCAAATTCTTTTCCAGTGAGTCGGGTCTTCACATCAGGTGGCCAAAATATTAGAGCTTCAGCTTCAGTATCAGTCCTGCCAATGAATATTCAGGGTTGATTTCCATTAGGATTTACTGGTTTGATCCCCTTGCCATCCGAGGGACTCTCAAGAGTCTTCTCCAGCACAACAGTTGGAAAGTATCAATTCTTTGGCGCTCAGCCTTCTTTATGGTCCAACTCTCACACTCATACATGACTACTGGAAAAACCTAGCTTTGACTAGGTGGACCTTTGTCAGCAAAGTGATTTTGTCTAGTCCCATGGCTTTACACACCACATGTATATGTTATGTATTCAGCTACCAAGTCTGTACCTCTGGCCTTGATCTCTCCCCTGAAATCTCTGTGAATGTCTAATAACATCTGACAAGATTAGCCAAAACAAAACTCTTGATTTTTGTTGTAGGAGAATGAGAGAATGATCATATCCTCGGTCTCTGGAGAATCCCTGGACAGGCCACCAAATGAGAGTCCTTGGCTTCTCCCAGGAAAGAATTCAAGAGTGAGTCAAAGTAAAGTGAAAGCAGAGATTTGAATTCCATAGGCAGAATATAGTCAGACTCAGAAAGTTGGAGCCTCCCTGGGTGCAGGAGGGGTTAGTTTTTATAGGCTGGGTCATTTCATAGGCTATTAAGTGGGAGGATTATTTATTTGGGGGAAGGAGTGAGGATTTCTAGCAATTGGGCCATCACCCATTTTTTGACCTTTTAGGGTCAGCCTTTCATGGGACCTGTGGGTGTATTATTTAGCATATGCTAATGTATTACAATGAGTGTATAATGAAGCTCAAAGTCTATTGGAAGTTGAATCTTTTACCATATTGGGCCTGGTAGG